AAAATGAAAACTTTTCATGCAACAATTTTCATTTTATTCATCTTTATATGATTCAAAGTTTATGGAAGTCTTGAGAAAGGACTTATGAAAAGTTGACATTTGTACCAAATAAAAGGAAAAAAAAATAAATACAGTTTTAGAGAATACTATTTTGTAGAATCAAGCCTTAGATACCAATGTTTATTAACATGAAATGAAAGAAGAAGTAATTTGGGATGTCTTGCAATGATAACAAAAGCCTTTTACACTATGTAATATATAATATATGAAGAAATAGAAGACATAGAATATCAAATAAGTATGAAAATAATGAGAATTTCTCTGAATGCCTGGATACCTAATGTTTTTTAACCTAAAATATACTTGTTGATCAATTTGCAATTGAAAATGCATAGCTATCCGCTTTTTCTGAATATATATGTATATTGGAAATTTGACATTTTTCCTATATAATATGAATAACTTTTATGTTTAACTTTCAAGAAATATTATGGGTAAATTAACATAACTTTGGATTCAAAGATATTTTTATGAGTATTTTCGATTACTAAACTTCTAATTTCATGAACCTGAGGATCGGACAACCTTAATAAAAACCATGCGCCGCCTAACACAGGATTAGAGATGCTTCTCGGTATATACTGATCGCATAATCTATTTGATTCTTTTAATTTCTGAATTACTGAAGGCAGGGGGATAGTTGGTTTTCATTTTACCTCTGTGTAGCAGAAAAGTCAATCAAAGCTGTTTATGGTGGAGACTAGAAGAAAAGAGCAGTTAACCATCTATCAACGGACAGTGATTTGCAAGGCCAATCACCTTTCAGAGGTTTCAGGCAAAGAGTACAAACGACAGACGATGCAAATGATTATATTAGGTATCAAAAAACAGGAAGAGTCAAACTTGTTTTTTATTCATTTAAAAATTTAAATTTTATAACAATGAGAAAAATATATTTATAAAGAACTATGTTTAAAACTTAAGGCATTTTGAACATAAAAAATGTAAACAACAAATATAAAGTGAATTTTAAATCAAATATCCTTTATTGACAAACCAGCAAACGAATAATCATGCTCCAAACACCATCACAATCTAAAAAAGACATAAACAAAGTTGAAAAGGTTGAAAATTGCCACTGAAGAAATTTTGACTTTGACGATAATTCATCAGTGAGGCTTTAGGTCTGTATGGTTACATGTAGAAAGCTATTAACAGTGACGTCATCAAGACGACACGGAGGCAATGCCAACATTTGAAAAGAAAAATAGATTCTTGGTTACAGTGTATTAAAAACAAAGACGTTTCTTAAGATTTTGAGATCTGTTATGTATTGTATAGTTTATAAATATTTTTTTAAGCTGAAGATTTGTTAATTAAAACAGATGTTTAAAAATGCCTAATTTGCACAACGTAACTGCTCTAGTTTGGAACCGGTTTTGTGTGTAAAGTAGCTAAGAACTTTAAGGGGGATATACAAGCCATATTGGATCAAGTCTGGTGTAAAATAAGAAATACCAAGAATGCGCTTCATACTTTACCAAACTAGCCCAAAGTTATTCAAAGTGCTAATGCACTCATTACCTACTGTTAGAGACCAAACTTAGTAAATAATTAAGTTTATTTTGTTTTAATAAGGAGTAAAATAATCATGTTAGAACTGCGCAGCTACAGTATTCACGAGATGAAAAATGCATTGAAGATGATCTCAGTTCGATTCATTTATAATATGGCTACAACCATTTGTTTCGCTTTTTTTTTTTGGTCAATAAATCTTGAAAATTTGATTTTTCATATGGGGGTCTTCCTGATGCCATGTGTTTACTTCGTCCACCATTCCTCTATCACACAGAGTTCAGATAACATTGATTTTAGAATAAATGCGAACAGAAAAACATCAAAACAAGAAATTACTAAGTAAAAATCATTAGGTTACATAACTTACTACTCTTATTTGTTGCATCGCATCGTCTGATTAATGAAAAAAAACGCGATTTTAACCCCACTCCAGCAAATCGGGAAAAACTGTTCTGTTTATAGCTCGAGTTTCCTCGTCCATATCATTCCACTGAGCACGTGGTTGGCATGTGCAAATATCTGCTGTGGATATAGATGCGTTTAATACCATGATTATATTCAATTTTTCATGGAACAAGTCTTGATAATTTGTTGGTTTCTTTAAAACTCGAGAAAAAAGATTTAAAAAAAGGTCATTAACATGCATTCAGTTATGCATATTTATTTTTAACTCGCTTCAGACAAATTTGTCGATTACTGATTGGATAAAAGCTAATCACATGACGCCCTGAAATTTTCCGTATTACGTCTCCGTTTTCATATAACGTCTCCGTGGAGGCGTAATATGAAAATCGGGCACGCGATTCCGTTCGAAGCGTTGTTATTGTAAATAAAAATGGCGGCTAAGAAACGGTTTACGTAGGTAGTTTAGTTAAATTTCTTGTTACCGTAACGATATTTTATGTTGATTTTTATTGGATTAAAACTTAATATTTTCATAATATGCACAAATATTTTTTTTTATTGAAAAAGGTCTTCAGCGGGATAAATTCGTAACACAGTCAGTTAGTGACCTAATACGGATTCACACCCTGTATGAATCCGTATTAGGTCACCAACTGACTGTGTAACTAATAGTATCTTTATCATACATGTATAAGGACTTAAAATTTGATCAAAATATAATGTATCTTAGCCATTTGAAGAAATGTTTACATTTTGTTCTCACTGCACTAAAGGAGGCCGGACATCCCCTTAAAGATAAAAGAAATATTTAATTTGTAACAAAAGGAGGAAAGACATGCACATTGACAGACATATATTAATGAAACCTTATACTTTTGCTGCTTAGCAAATTAAATGGAAAATACGAGGGTTGTCCGTAATGTTCGTGGACAACATTGATATTTACTGACAAACATTGATATGATAAATGAAACTATTATTTTCATTAAATCCATGTTTCATGTTATTAACATGCAAGTTTTCATCAATTAAATAGCACAAATAATTATATTTTTTCAGATTAAAAAAGACACACTCATACCTGGAGAACTAAAATGAAAATTCTTGAAGTCACCCGATATCAAAAGCATTATACGAGTACATGTAACTTGTCTCACTATAGTCACCGTTTAACTCAATGCATTTCTTATATGTCGCTTTAACCAGTCATTAATATGTGCACAAAATGTTCAGGTTTCATACGTAAAATAATGTTTAACAATGCCTGTCTCATATCCTGCAATCCTCCAACCTCTGTCCGCGTAAAAACGATTTTATTTACGGAAATACGGTAAAGTCACGTTACAAAGTTCATTTTTTACAGCACTACAATCTCGGAATGATGGACTTCCTTCACGCATGTCATCCTGTAAACTGTTCGTTAGGTCCGAAAATATTATATGCCACTTAAATACTAATGTACGTCTTCTTTCACTATGTTTTCTCGATTGTTTACAAAATGTATTGGTCTCCGTGGGTGTTTATCCGATCTCTACGCAAAATTTTTAACTGCTGACTGGTCCATCTATTTCGAAAACGTCCCTTTTTTGAACAATTCCGATCCGTCTTAATATGTTAAAACTTTGATTGCTCAGTCATTTACAACTTTGAATGTTCACATGTTGCAGGTTTGAAGTGAAAACTTTTGTCAACCTCATAATGTAAATGTCATCCAGATTTCTGCAGATTTTATAAAATACAAATGAAATTTATAAAGTGATAAATAATTTGTTAATTAAAATTTTGCGGTGCTCCGGGTCTCCATTCTAAGTTTAATTATCAAGTCATAATTGTAATTAAACATTTGAAATTGAATCAGATTTCACATTTCTCATTCTACATTTAGAAAAGGATTAGAAATATACTAATAATAAATATCAATGACGCAACTTTTATTTAATTCTTAGCTTGTCCACGAATTTACGGACAACCCTCGTATATGTATTTTTTTTTTTTTTTCTAAATGGTTGATTGATTGTATATTGTTTTTATCATCCGGTTTTTTACATCTTGTTCGATTTTTTTTACACATATTGGGACATCAGCTGGGAGATATTGACCCAGCATGCAGGTGAACAGGGTAATTGCTACATATATAGGGGGAGTGACAAAAGTTAAAATCATAATGTTTATCAGAGAGCTTTCTTGTTATGTTATTATAAATAATTTCTAGCAAAATATATATCCAAATAGGATATTGATGTGAAGGACTCTGTGGTATCTTTAATCTCACTTTCATTGGCACACTGTGTGCATTTACAATTTTTCTTTCATTTTGTTGGAAATAAAGCAACATGTCAGACAAAAAAATGGGAAGGTTGAATTGCTTTTAAATATCTAATTTTTTACTCATTTATTATTCATATGTTCATTTTACTAATCTGGGTACTAACACTAGTATTTCATCTATTACAAAATATAAAACTTTGGAATAGCTTAATATAGATATAGAATTTGTATGACAGAGTTAAAAGTGGTGAAAATTAATTATTTTTTGACAAAGCTAGTAACCGTTGACAAAAAATAATAAAGGGTGTTCAATATTATGATCTTCTACAAACTTTTAGGTGCTTATGTGCAAATTTTTTCTACTTTACATTGGTGTTAAATTACATTTAAATCTATACATTTCGTGTCTTATTATGATGTAAAATTTGAAGGTAAATATCAAATGTTAAACAACCCAAAATTATTATATATTCCATGCAATATTCTAATGATACAGATTGATCGACAAAAGGTTTTTCATTTATTTGTGAGACAAGCTATAAACAGGTAGGATGCAGAAAATATTTGAATTGTTTTGTATACTATCACCTGGAAAGACATCATTTTTTTTGGGAGAAAAAGATTTATCATTGCAAAGTGTACTTAAATATTCTAAATCATATTTTTTTGTTGGAAAATTAATTGTCACTCAAAAAATTCACTACATGTACTTTTAATTTGACAATTTTACATGCTTCTTTCCCACAGAAATGTTTGGATTTTATTTAGCCCTAGTTCTGCTTCCTTATACCACTAAAGGAGAGACACCGACCGGGAGTTGTAAAGATATTTTAAAAGGTTATCTAACAGGACAACTGTCGTCTGTTCTGGGGGCATATCAGATAGAAGCTTTAAAAGAAGAATTCAAAAGCTTCACTTATCTCATTGAGAAATCCATGAAAAAATTCAAGGGGCAAGTGAATGTACGCATACAATCTTCAGGTAAATGTATCAATCGATCACACAAATGTGAATGTGGTGATTATTTTTTATATAATACCTAATGAATTAATAACAAATTAAGTGCTTCTTTTGATAGGTATCGGAAACAAAAACATTGTATACACAAGGTGGGGAAAGAGGACGTGCCCTGGAAATGCAAATTTAGTTCATTCTGGTATTAAGATTTTTTGTCTTGAAAACTAAAATGATTTTATGTGATATTTTAATACATTGTTCATGAATTTTCAGGTTTATTTCTACTTGCACTGCTAACATATACATGTGTTCACTTTATTTTTAAATTCCAGGCCCCAAGACAATAAAATAAGAACAGACTTAAGTCCAAATGTCAAATCCATAAACTTTGATATAATATTGATAACAAAACAAAATTTTACCATATGTTCAAATGAAAATATTATTCATACCTGCAACTTTTTCATAAGGTAATGTGAAATCACTAAATTTCGTTGGGGTTTAATTTTCGTTGTTTTCAAGGTATGAAGAGACCCACAAATTTATGTCCCCACGAAATGTAATTTTTGAAATATATTACTACTAAGCAATTTTGAAACCATGAAATAAAATCCCCATGAACAATTAAATTTTCCTCAAACCACAAAAATTTGACCTCTCGAAAATATGTGAATTTACAGTATTTACTTTAATTTACAAGCTTTTCAAAATCAAAATCTTGACTTAAGTATGTTCTCATTTATGGTCTCCACCTGGCATGATTGATATTATAAATAATTTTTATGGATTATTATATACATGGCTTTTACGTTTACAGGATATGCTGCAGGATCACATTATACCCATAAAGGAGCGGCTGTAGATCCTCTTTGTTTACCAAGAAATCCAGAATGGGGAGAGTATATAGACGGACACGATGGATCAAAGGCTTTTATATATGGAGCAGAATATGAGACCAGTGGCTTTACGAGTCGCTTTAATCCATATCAAGACCAAGATGTTCCCTGTGCCATTTGCCTTTTTAAGAAAAGATCCGTAGTACAAATGTTTCCAGGTGAAGAAAAAAAATAAAATACGATAATTTGCTTTTTAATCTGTTGATTTTGAAATTTGATTTTCATACTTGCATCCTAAATTCTTAAATCATCAAATTAATAAATTAAACGTATTATTTCTTACCTTTTTGAAAAAAAAAGAGATGGGGACAGAAAGAGAGAAAGGAACAATAACTTGAGGATTTTTAAAATTTTTCTAATCTATGGAATTTATATTTTATTCCTTTGAAATTTACTAGTATATTTTTTATATTAATCGATTGAAAGTGTATATGAAACACACAGCATTACAAATGTTTGTGCTTTCAGTAAGATAACGATAACTGTAGATTCCTAAATGCACCCGATGAGTGAACTACATTGCCTCGCCTAATTTAAGAACGAAATCCGAGAAATAAAATTACTCCCTTTCATTACATTTCGTCGTCTAATTTAGCAATGAGCTCATATGCGAAATGTAATTTCTCCCTTTCATTTTAAGTGTTTAAATCTAAATACTATCTTTAATGAACCTCCTCTTGCAATTTGGCATCTTAGTCTTAATTTGCAAAATAAAGTATTCGTGTAAAAGAGTAATCTACATTTTTTTCGATAAATTATTTTCTTTTGCAGTTAAGCATATTTTAAATATTATTTTTCAATTTATTTGTAAAGGAAGAAAAACCTGTTACAAAGGATGGAACCTCGAGTACCAGGGCTACCTAATGGCTGGGTACCATGATTATCCTGCTGGGACAACTTACAACTGTGTTGACAAGAATCCTGAAACCCTGCATGGCGGTAGAGCTAGAAAATTCGGCTACCTGTTTTACTTTGTAGAAGCTGTCTGTGGTTCATTGAAATGACCACCATACGTCCAAGGAAGAGAACTAATGTGTGTTGTCTGTTCCAAACATTAAAGAAAGAAGTAAACTCATTTCATTTCATAAGGAGTTGTGTTTTTTACCACAGTGTTATTCACTGCAAAAAGAATTTTGCCGACTCTTGTGATTTTGATTTAATTTTGAAGAGTAAAGTTTTTATTTCAGCATATATTTTGTCTTCTAGCATTGTTGCTTTAACACAATAACTGAAAGAGCTAGTAAACATTTTTGATAAGGAAGAAGGGGGAACAGAACAGTGGCTACTGAACTCTACAAAAGAGAATCAATGAAGTAGCTTGATGGGGTGTAGAAAGATCTTGGTAGATCACTGGTATTCCCTGATACTACACTGTGTAGTATTATACAGCCAAATCCAAGCGATGAAATCATGCTAAAGCAGCAAGTGATCATATTTGTTAAGCTAAATTGTTTCCTGGGAAGAGAAAATAAAATACAAATATCAAGATCTAATAGATTAAGTATGGAGCAAAAGATTAAGAGAATAGGATGGACATTTCAATGGATTTTATCACATCTATCAAGAATGCTTTGATAACTCTTTAAACCACTGGAAAAGACGGAAGAATAGAGGGGATGTCAAGCAAAGCAGAAAAGTCAATCTTGCTGGTTATGGTGGAGAAGAGATGAAAAGAGCTGTAAACCATCTTTAAGGGGCAGTTATTTGGCCAGGTACGTTTCAGAGGATTCAGGTTGAGAGTACATACATGTAGGGACCGATGAGGTGAAAAAATATATTGAACAGTGCCACCCATTGACAAAAGCGCACAAAAAATCTATGATTACATTCCAAATTCTTATCAATACAAAATAAAGATTTTAAACACAAGTACTCTCGTAGTTGACATCTGGACGAAGCATATTGGACCGAATTATATTTGAAACTAAAATGGCAGTATAAATGAAATTTTTGATTACAATATTTTAAAAACAATTAAAATTTTAAATTTCGGAACACACGGTTAGTAATGTTTTACACAGTTTATAAACAAAAAATAATGTTAAAAAACAACCACTTTTTTTGCGCAATAAATATAAGCTTTAGGTCTATCAATATATTGTTGAACAACAAACAGGTGGAAACACAAATATACAGTCCAGTTGATTTTTATTCTTTTAAATATTTTCATAACCTTTGTTTAAAGCTTTGACAACAAACAAAACACAAATATTAGGTGAATTTTATACCTTTGATTGACAACACAACAATCGAATAATTTAGCTCCAAAGTCTACAACAATCTAACAAAGACATGAATGAAATTCAATACAATATTGACATTGATTTGATTTGATCCTTTAACGATAATTCATCAGTAAGAGAGCAGTAATCAATGACGTCATGATGACGACAACAGAGGCAATATCAACACCTGCAACAAAAAATATAATTATTTTTAGTCAATGAAAACAATGATATTAAAATAGGATTTTTTTTTTCATTTTTTTTATCCTTTTGGTGCCGTATGGTTTATTATGATTTTAAACGTTTGATATGATAATCATATCAAATGAAAAAATTGCATTATACCCGACTCATCTAGTCTAGTTATTGTTGTTATTTGTTATTTTGCGAAAAGATAAGGGATCAAAATCGATCTTTTAAACAAAATCAAAGAATAATGACATTCTTATGATTTAAAGTCAGGACAAGAGCAGGAAGGACTGACAAACAGGCATTATGATAACAATTCTGAGACTTGTTTACAACAAAAGCAATTAGAGAAATAAAAATGTTGAAAGATTTCAAGACATTCGAGGATGTATAGTAATGTTGAAAAAATTGGAAGATTTTTAATGAAATTTTTAAAGTGTGAAGATACGCAGATGTGTTGTTTTACCTGCTCCATTTTGAGCCAGACAAATTGCCGTATTTGTACATCCGGCGTAACCCTCTGTTTCGTCACTTCCGTCATCACAATCTGAGTTGCAGTCACATTTAAAGCTTTCCTGGATACAAGACATACTGCCAGACTGACACGTGAAAAATCCCGTGGGACACAACTGAAAAAAAAATACATTTAATAAATTTTAAAACCTGAAAAACTCTTGACCGGCCCTCGATCGTTATCTTTTGAGAACGTTAGTCAAATTTTACTGTGGACTCTTTCAGTTTAATTTTTTCTATCAAAAGATATTTTCGAATGAAATCGGTAAGAATTGTGAGGTTTCAGCTAACATTTACACATTAACCGTATGATTTCTGATGATGATGATAAAACGCCTTTTCTGTTTAATAATAATATGGAGTGAAAACCGACAGATTAACCTGAAAACCAGGAAATGGCAAATGAAACGACTTAAAACTTATCCAACCTATTGAAACGCAAATTCTAATTTTTTTCTTTTTTTGTGTGAAAAATGTACATATTCGCATCATTATTCACTTTCAGATCTAGTGAAGCAGGTCATTGTCATGTTTTCATGTTTTAAGTTTTGAATTTACAGGGTGGCGGTAAATACAAAATTTACAACATAACAACTAAAAGGAAAAAATATATATATTTCAAAGTTTTGAATTTATACCGGGTGGCAGTAAATACATCTACAAAATTTACATGTACATCACATCAATGTCCCAGCTTCAGTAAAATGCAGATGCATTAAGTGTAGAAAATTACATTATAAATAAGTACTGTGATCACCTTGATAAACAATGTAATTGTTTGAAACATCTAACACGTGTTTACCTGCGCATACTGGCCAGCTGCTACGGTTGGACAGGCATCAGTGTTACAATCTCCATAATCTCCCGAAGTTCCGGGACAATCCTTTCCGCCGTTCTCCGGTTTTGGATTATCACAAATTCTGGTTCGTGACTTTTGACCTCCGCCACACGTGACACTGCAAGTACCCCACTGTCCCCAAGCGCCCCATGCTCCATCAACTGCAATAACCATTTAGACTATTAACCTGTATCTTCAATATTACAGATGTATATACTTCTTTCCCGTTTAAAAAGAAATCTTCACAACATGAAATGTTCATCATTTCTAAATTTGTGGGGTTTTATGGCTTTATCTAACAAAACTTTATTAATCTATATAATTAAATAAGATAAAGAGTAATGACCCAAAATAATAACATAACATGGATAATGCACTTTTTCTGCGAAAGCTTCGATAGTTCATTTCATTATAAATAACATATAATTATATGAAACACAATCGAGGAAAAAACAAACAAATTAGGACAGTGAAAATGACTAGTGGAAGTTAAGAAAATTAAGACTTACTTATGCAGACTTGAGTGTTGCAGTCTTGTGTGCTTTGATCCGGTCCGGTGCAATCAGCCCCTCCGTACTGCGGCGTAGGGTTAGAACAGGTTCTTGAGCGGTTCTGGGTCCCTCCCCCACACGTCACTGTGCACGTTCCCCAGCTACCCCAGGTTGCCCAACTACCGTCAACTGTAAACGTTCAAAGGATATGTGCTTTTTACATACATGTGTATGCAGTTAAACACATCAAATTTATATGTGCGTGCATAATTACCGTCATATTAAGTTTATTAAATTATACTAATTTGAAGAAAGAACTGTGTTTACTTGGACAAGGGTTCGTGTTGCAGGTTTGAGAACTGGTTGAGGATCCAGAACAGCTTGCCCCTCCGTACTGAGGGGCGGGGTTGGAGCAGGTGCGAGTTCTCCCTTGGGTTCCCCCGCCACAAGTCACCGTGCACGTGTCCCAGTTTCCCCAGCTTCCCCAATTACCGTCAACTGAAGGTAAGTAATGTTCCATTTTTTTTTATAATTGTTTTTTTTTTCTCAAATGTTTTGTAATTTCAAAAGATTAATCGTTAACTTTATTTAATCAACAAAGACAACACATATACATGTATAACACATATGTCAAAATTAATTAAACCTTTAAATATTTCGAATTTCACTTGTTGGTAAAACTGAAAATTTCACTAAATCTGAAAAAGCATTTAATTCATTATCTATACTTACTTGGGCAAGCCTGTGTGTTACAAGATTGGGAGTCTGTGGCGGATCCAGCACATTGATCCCCTCCCCACTGTGGGGCGGGGTTTGTACATGTTCTTGACCTGGTTTGGGTTCCACTTCCGCAGGTTTTAGAGCAAGATCCGTATGATCCATAACTGGACCAACCGCCATTTATTGGAGGCGCTGTGAAAAAAATATTTTTTTTAATTATAGTCATGCAATTATTCCAATATCTTGAAAATTATTTCATGTTGTTAACTTAAAACTCTGACACTCACTGTTCTTCTTGCACATAAATTGTAAAGATGCGCTACATTTTCCGTCGTTCCACTGACCATCGCTAGCGTAAATCAGAGCACAATCTTCATCTCCCGAATTATTAGGCTCGCCTGCAGTAATGGCGTCAAACATTCATACATAACTAATTCATGTACATATATAACATTAAGGTGTAGAATTACCTTTTATGAATGCATAAGTATTCATCTTTATTGTTTTATTTCTATGAAATGAAATCTGTCCGATCTGAACAATTTTTTTAATTCATCCGCAATACAGTTATGATTAATATATCAAGCACAGGTATCAGTATATAATCAGTTAATTATACATGATTATATTGTGTAACGTTATCAATAGGCTGCCTGAGATCAATTATAACAAGTTAACATAAATCAGTTATACTGTACCAGATTTCCAGTTGGTGTAGCTCCAGGAGAAGGTACCCCCAGACCACGCCCACGATCCCTCCTTGGGTCCGTCAAACCCTCCCATCCACATGTCCTGCCCGTTCATTAGACCTAAAGGAAAAGTCACGTGATCATTTCTTAGACTTAATTTGATAAAATTGTCATTAATTAGCAAAAAGGGGTAGGAAATAGAAGAAAATATACACTTTTAATATTAGAGTGAGTGAATGATGGTAATCATAAAATCCGACTTTACCTGGAATATTTAATGGAAAATATTTATTTTGATGTCATGAACGTAAGATAATAAATATAAGCATATAGGGTTAACAAATTATTAATATAACCAATTTTACCTCTCACGTAAGACATTTCGGAGGAATCTTCGACGTTCAACAGGTTAGCTGAGTTGGCCTGGCAAGTCTTCAGAGCGTTGGACCACGTGGCCGTAGATGTGAACAGTTTATAGCATTTTCCATTCCTAAAACTCCAGGTGGAATCGCAGGAATCCAGAGCAGCTGTAGGGTAGATATTAATGTTACAGGTGAATGAAATATTTTTTTTTTAAAGTAAGTATATTATGCAATTAATTTCTAGCAATAATCTTTTTTTGAGAAAAAATAAGTCTTACTCGTTTGTTCACAAATGTACGCCATGTCACGTGAACAGGGGTAGTCGTTCCATTTCCCGTCACTGAGAAGACTGGCACAATCCTCTCCGCCGGAGTCATTTGGCTCGCCTGGAAAAATAAATTCGCAAAAGTGATCAACTGATATTATTAATATAAAATAAAAATAACGTCTTTTTATTTCAAATTTACGTGTATTTACAATTTTAGAGTCCGCTTGATTCTGTATTTTCAAAATTTAAATCTAATTAAATTAATTTTCTTTTGGAAAAAAAAAAATAAAAATTGTATATAATTTTTTCTACAAATTTAAAGACACTTCCTTACTACCGCTCTCAACACTGACCTGAGTTCCACTTGGTATAAGTCCAGGACTGGATGCTACCGTACCATAGCCACTGTCCCTCTGTGGACGCATCCGAACCACTGATCCAGAACTCGTTACCGCTAGCGAGATCTGAAAAAAAATAAAATTGGTTAAATACGACTTTAAATAATAAAACTCAATATTTTTTTTCCACTTTTTTAACTGATAACAGCGTGGTTTTCTAATCATCTCCTTACTTACAATTCGAACAAATTTCTACTTGCATGAGAATTGTTATGAAATCAGATCGTAGAATATTCAACATTAATTATAATCACTAAAATTATTGCTCTTAAGCCTTAATGTTATAAAAGGTATCAGTCCGATATGTCTGAAAAGGTATTAGTCCGAAATGTCTGACGTTTTTCAGGCTTTTTTCACGATTTTAATACTTTACGCTTCTGTGCACGTAAAATATCAAAATCGTGAAATAGTCTGGAAAACGTCAGACATTTCGGACGAACAAAATATAAGTTATTTCTCTTACTGTGTACAAAAGTTTGTTCGCCGTCAGATCCGACATCCACTAAGCTGCTCCCCACGGACTGACAGGCCTTAAGGGCGTCCATCCAGGGTCTTTTGGTTGTGTACAGTCGGTAACAATTCTCTCCATACTTGGTCCATCCAGAACTACAGGTCACGGCAGACACCCTGTGTTCTGTAATTCATTAAAACAAATAATTTTTTTGTAAAATTGAAAACCTTGTTTCATCGAAACGCGCGAAGTCGCGTGGTATTCACATTATATTGAAGTTTGGCCTCATAATATATGTACATGTATATGTAGTGTACCTCACTTTTTATTAAGAAAGATTAAGAACTTAATTTCGCGTGACGTATATATTACTATTAAAGATTATGAACAATAGTAAGCACGACTCGTGAAATTTTCCACAAAAAAGTCAGTAGTCACCTCATTGTATAAGTCTTACAATTTTGGATTAAATTTCTGATTGAGTTTTACCATTTTTTACAGCAATCAAATACCTATTGTAAACATAATTGTCTAAAATTTATTATATAATAATTATACACTTTTTAAAATTAAAAAAAACGAATAAGATACGTTATAATGACACACCGTGAATAAGTATTGAGACGACCAAAATAGTCAGATGTCCGATCCTGTAGAAAACCTGCAAAAAAAATATCAATATGATAAAATTTAATGAATTTTCCTTCAATTTAAATAATTCTGAGATGGTAATTTTTTTTTTAACAAAATTATTTGTTAATTTGAATTCTTTTTATCATGACCAGAGATTTCTTTCGCTTTTATCAATTTTATGAGGGAGGTAGGTGTAAAAAAAAATATCAAAATAAAATGTATTAAATTATTTTAAGGAATATATTATTTTCAAAAAAATAAATAAATAATTTATATAATAATTACCATTGTTTTCTTCAGAAATCTTTGCACGATCTGACTATAAAAAAGCTAAAACAGGGGTTATAGCAGAAACTTATTTTTTTAGTGGATAAAAAATAATCTATGAATCCATCAAGGCAATATTTGCATAACATCCTATGGGATTAAGTACAAAAAGTTAAAGGTATGATCCCCCGTTCGAACATAATAGTTTTACACTTTAATACCTATAGTGTTGTTACACTTTATAATGTAAACAGTGCCATAGAATTTTACTATTCTAAATTCTTGTGTATTGCTTGTCATTGTTGTGAAATCGGTATTTCTTTGTTGCAGTATAAATCTGCAAAATAACTATTAGCATGTTGTATAATCAGAGAATCTTGTTCTTTCTTTCATATTTTTAGAGCTTAGATTGGAGAAGAATTGCCACAAATTTATATATATAATTTTATTTTTAAAAATACATTTGAAAAATGCTTTATCTTTCTAAAATATAGAGTAAAATCACATTTAGGTGATATCGACATTCAAAATATCCATGCCACAATTTCGACCAAAACAATCTGTTCCTTTGCCGTCATATTTTTCTCGTATCTTTTCAAGGTAAAAAATGCAAATTATATTTTCTGTAGAAGATTGATTTTATCGATCTTTATACTGATACATAGAGAATAATACATGCCCTTTTCCATATCACATCCTGTATTAAAATTTAATAATTTGATGCTGATAATGTGATGTGGAAAAGGGTATATTATATTTATTTTAGTAATAAAATACAGTTGAGAAGAAAATAAGTAAATAATAATGCATGGACTTCTTACATACTTGTACATAGTCTAATGAATAAGATTTGGGTTTGTTTCTATTTCTATTTCAATGCACTTGATCCGTAATTTGAAAATATAATAGTATTACATGTATTTGTAAATTAAGATTAACCTTATTTTCAAGAAGTTAAAATTAAGAGAATATGAACCCACCAAAAATTGTGTATGAGTACAAGTACTGTTATTGTGGTTTTATTTACTAAGGGTGTGATATTTTTTCAAGGCTGATAAAAAAAAAATCAAATTATATTTTCTGTGACGTCAGCCATATCGCATATGCAAAAAACCTGTATTTATTACTAAGTGTGTAATAAATGTATATACATCATACAAAATTTGGAAATCTTAATTTTACTCAGTCTACAAATATATAAATGCATTTCATGCTGATATTCATTGCAGGAAAAAAAATCAATGATTAAAGAAAATATTTACTTCCATAAAAAATAAGACATGAAACTTTTGAGAGGGGTACACGTTTAAAAACAAAACCCAGTTTAAGGACAATATTTGCATGAGGACATGTACTCGTAAGGTCAAGGTCAGATCGGTGTCCACGTGAGCTATCGAGGTTAATAACTTGATGTCTTAAAACAGCTTAGGACTGTCAAAAGGGAATATGGAAGATAATACCCCGGTAGATGAAATCAAATGACCATTACAACAGGTGGGCCAATAAGTTTAATTCCATGACAGGTATACTTTGTCTAAAGGTTTACGTACTAATCAGATCAAAAGTTATTAGATTCAATTAACTATTGAATGTTTATGAACTTGAAGAGAAAATTTAATAAATATAGTATCAGAGTTTAAAAAAGTATATTAAAGTGATTTCCTAATTAGTATTAAACAACTAAATCACTTTGGATAAAAATAATATATTAATTAAGAACAATTGATTCGAAAATATAACAAAATCAGGGAGCTCTCAAATCATGGCCTGCAACTGGCTTGGCGGAAACGCGGGAAGAGCGAGATCGATGGGCGCCCGATCCCGATCCCAATTATCAATTAAAAACACCCCAAAATACACTACAATATGATTAAAGTATCTTTGTTACAAAGGTAACATATTTTTTTTGGTTTGTTTGGGTTCTTTTTGACGTGGATGTGAAGTTCGATAGGGGTTTCTCACGGACACCTTCCCAACCTCTAAAATTTCCAAGGGTCGATCAAGGTTACATGTTAATATGCTTTGTTCACAAATTGTAAATTTGTTTATATTGATTATTGTTCTTTATCTATTTGAATATATGAATATCAGTTACTTAGCTTTATTCAAATTAATACTTTTCACGTTTAACATAAGTTTACTAATTATAATTCGTCAATTTTTGCGGTCTTTATTTAAAACATTTAAAAACAATAAAATCTTTGATAAAATTCAACATGAATGTCCATGATTTTCTTTCAAATGTTACTAATTTTCCTTCTTGTATGATCTACTTTAATGTCCTTTAACCTGGCTCCAAGACCATAAACTGAGAATAGACTTAAAAATTTCAAATCATTGTAACTTTTAAAAAATAAATTTCAAAATGAAACAAATTTTTAAGGTATATTTGTATTCAAGTATCTAACAAACTTGAACGATTTAAGGTCAAGATCTAGTAAATGACTTTAGACTGATTTTTTGGTGCTAGATCCATTATGACGTCATAATCAATTTCAACTTTCTTTTTCCCGTACTTAATGGCTTTAGCAGAATTATGTAGAAAATAGGGTATTTTCATGACATTCAGTTTGAAATCATGTGAAAAGTAAACCGGATACCTATATTAAATTTGATATTATTTTAAAGAAGAGGCCATGAACATACAAATTACTGTTTTCTGAGAGACTGTAGGCAATCTGGATACATTTCTTTTGTCGAATATGGAAAAAACTCCCATATTTATGACTGGTTTTCTTAATTTTTCATTGAAAATGACAGTTTAAATATGGTTTTTCATCTTGTTTACCTGCAAATTATGCCCCGAAACTCCTTATTTGACCAAGCTAAAGTTGTAAACATCAATAAAGGAATTTATTTCTCAAATTTTATAAATCTGTAGGCACCTTTCATTTACTAGATCTTGACCTTAAAAATAACAGAAATATTCAAAATCTTAATTTTGACTTAAGTCTATTCTCAGTTTATGCTCTTGGAGCTAGGACTTAGTGTTTTAACGATTTATCGTTGACCTATGTGTACTGAAATCGAGTGATTAGCCTAATATTAGGACAGTACGTAATTAAGCAAGTATTAAACTTTCATAATTATATTTCATACTCTTCTAAGTCCGCGTAACCGCTTCAATCAAGATATAAAAATATGGAACACGTATTTGTGTTTGTAATTTTCGGGGTCATTGTCATGAAATGATCTCCCACAAATAAACAAATAAAATTCACCTCTGACAAAAAAAACAACACCTAAAATATAACTTATTATAATTAATAAAAGCTTTTAATAAATAGGGACATGTAATCTTATTTCCTTGTGATATTTTTCAATTGTGATACATATTTGGTTTGAATATCGCATAATCTTATGAAGAAAACGAACAGTATATGGACTCTTTAGCTCGTATATATACGAGCTAAAGAGTCCATAAAACAATACAAAACTAGTGCTAATTGTGTTACCAAACGCTCCCCAACTCCCTTTTAGTTCCATATTCCCTGTAATATACTATTTGTGAAAATTTCCAAAATTATTAAAAATCACTCATTCAAGTGTATTTCTAATTTCATTCGTTCCAAATGCACGCACGTGCGTGCACGTGCATGATGACCATACCTTCTTGTAGGAGTCCCTTATATTTATTTATGTTCTGAATCCCATCCTGTTTGGTTGAAAAACAAGGGAGTTATAGCCATTTCAAGTGTCAGCCAATCAGATTGCAGCACACGTGCATGCGCGTGATTTCATGATCATTTTTCTATATGGCATTGTAGGATATCCTAATGAATGATTATGTTTTAAATTTCAAAGCATTTCGTCAAAAAACAAAGGAGATATAGTCATTTAAAGTTTCAGCCAATCAGATCGCAGCACACGTGCATGCGCGTAATTTCTTGAAATTTTTTGTATATCATATTGCAGGGCATCCTAATGTATGACTATGTTTTAAATTTCAAAGCATTTCGTCAAAAAACAAAGGAGATATAGTCATTTAAAGTTTCAGCCAATCAGATCGCAGCACACGTGCATGCGCGTAATTTCTTGAAATTTTTCGTATATCATATTGCAGGGCATCCTAATGTATGACTATGTTTTAAATTTCAAAGCATTTCGACAAAAAACAAAGGCGATATAGTCAATTAAAGTGTCAGCCAATCAGATTGCAGCACACGTGCATGCGCGTGATTTCATGAAATTTTTTCTATATCATATTGTAGGATATCCTAATTCATGACTATATTTTGAATTTCAAAGCATTTCATCAAAAAACAGAGAAGATACTGAGATTTTTGTTTTAGCCAATCAGAAAGCGCACGTGCATGCGCGTGAGTTCGTGCTAATTTGACAGTGTCACATTATCAATAGTATTAATATATCTTTATATAATGAGTTTCAAATCATTTCATCAAAAAATGTAAAAGTAATAGCTATTTTAAGTATATCAGTCAATTCACTCATTTCACGCGCACGCACGTGCGTGCGTATGCGCGCAAAATGACCTTCGTTCCGCACACCTACACTACACACCTATTAACCCTAAAAAGGTTTTAGCTCAGTTGGGTGAACAGTTTCTGAGAACACTCGCGGACAAAAAAAGTACAGGTGAAGAAATAAGAAAAAAAAAAATAATAATAATAATAATAATAAGAAACAGAGTAAAAACAATATGTTCCCAAACTCCGTTTGGGGAACATAATAAAAGCAGAGCAAACACAGACCTCTAAATCATCAGGGGCCAGTTTTACAAAAGAACTTACGGCTAAGATCAAAATCTGATTCTGCTTATAACTTTATGATTTAAGGGGGCCGACTTTGGTTTTCATTGCGCAGTATTTCGCGCATCTTAGTAAAATGAAGCGTACTTACTGTTTTAAAGCAACTTTTTTCACTTGATTAAAAAAATTAAACAAACTTGAGAAATAGCAGGTTTAAAAATGCAATTACAATTTTATATAACTTATTTTTTAACCGATTTTGCTATTGATAGTTAGGTTGACGTCGTTATAGTGTGTTTTTGACGTTAAGTTAAACTGAAGCTCTTCAGAAATGGGTAATAAAAATGTTATTTAAGAAAAAATAATTAACATACGCTCTTGAAATTTAAAACATAGAAATTGAAGAATATCTCCAATATTTTTATTATGTTTTCATATAAATCTCTTGTGCCCGTTATATTTTGTAATACTCTATAAAAACAGGAAAATTCGTTAATTTTTTTGCATTTTGAGATGCCCCCTCTGGTAACAAGACAGTAGAATTTTGTGTTTCTTACATATAATGTATAATATAGTATTACTCATCATATATTATAGTTTTTACAAAAAGTCTATTGTAGTGTTTGTATAATATGCTTTAAAGTGCTAAAAAGTGTCACTTTCCTATATAATCCTATAGTAAATGTACCTGTATTTTGAGACGGTCCATTAAGAATACCTAGACGGTAGATTTTCCCCAAACTTGGCATGTACACTGACGTTAATGTAAGTTAATTATGGTATAAAGATGAAAAGTTTCGCTATTGTTGTTTTCACACAATAAAACCCCAGTCGGCCCCCTTAAATTTAATTGAAAATAAATATAATGCTTTTAAATGGAGTATAGAAAGATATTTTTACACAAGTGGTTTTAAACAGAATCATTCGTTCAACAAAATACAAGTATATTACAGTCAGCTAAAATTTTCGTCTTATAGTCGTATTAAGTTGTTTTGTAAAACGGGCCCCAGAGGTGGGATCAGGTGCCATGGATGAGTGAGCATCCCCTGTCGAACGGTTACACTCTCCCCGTGCCACGGACAGACAAATGTGAAAAAAACAAAATTCTAAAGAATTCAGTTAATTGAGTGTTTAAATAATGGCATATTACAATGTTTATGAAGAACTTCAGTCTTTATTTGACTTCATAATGGATAGTATTTGTTAATTAGGTCATCACAGAATTTTCTAAACAATCACTTTAAACGAGACTGTTGATAACCCTGTATCTCTGATTTCAATAACTTGCTTCTATTTAAAAATGGGTGAGCATGCTCTTGCTGGAAGACAAAAACACTACTGTACAGATAATAAGGGCATATTGCTTTATAAGTAAAGTTCTATTTGACGATAGAAAAGTTTATCAGATTTATCATGAAGTATGATTTTTGGTTTCAAACATTTTTCTAGTATTTCAAACATAAGAAATCTTAAGATATAAAGATGTCTTTTATTCCAGCTCGCATGTCTTGATGTACGGTTGACTGATATGGGCTTATTTGATTTCTGGAGAAGAAATTAAGTTCAGATACAACAAGCTAGACGGACAGACGCCCAAAAACTAGAAAGTAGTATGCTGAGTTTGATAGGGCCGTAAGCAATGTTTTATTGTTAAAAATAAATCAAACTCACACATTTCAGATGGATTATGTATACAATACTTTAAACTGATGAAACAAAACATTATCACAATGCTTTGAATAATACCATAAAGAAATGATTTGAGAAATAACTGAATATAAACGTGCCCTTGACTTGACATCCCTAACAATAATTTATGAATAAGACAGCTATAATCAGCGAGGACATCATGACGAAAACGGATGCAACGTCATAACCTGAAAAGAAAAGAATATAATGTCAATGAAAATCAAAACCTTTCATTGTTCTTTTCTTGCATTGTAGTACATGTATATAATTATTTAAAAGTAGCTACTTAAAAAATGCTTATCTTCCTTTTCAAGTTTAAAGAATAAGATATTAAGAGTAATGAAATCTAGACACTCGTTGCAATTAAGAGGCAGTCCACCGAAAAACCAGGCAGTATTGTATTGATAGGCGGCACATCGAATGTGAGGAATATTTGATATTTTATGAAAAACAATATCAATGTAGTCCAAAAGGAATAATGTAATTGAAGATTTGTTTGAAAATTGCTTATTCAGTAAAATATCCTTGTGTTTCGTGTTTTTGACTTCCCCTATATAAACCATTGAAAGTAGGTCAGAAACAAAGAACTGTAATTTCCAATACAATTTTAACAGGAATATAATTCACACTTAATTAAATCTTGAAATATTTCATCTTTTTGTTAAACAAATAAAATCATTGGGAAAAACACTTTTAATAGAAGTTTTCTGGCAAAATATATAGACGTTTTTATGAAAATTTGCGATGCAAGAGTTATCTCCCATGGCATCGGTAAATCTGCTAAACACATTTTAATCGGAATCTTAGTGAAATATTCAGAATCGATACGCTAAAGAAAATTATTAAACAAAAAATTAATTTACTTTCAAAATATAATTCATTTTCGCCTCTAAACATAATATTTAGATTGAAATTTACTACATGTATAATATTAGGTTAAATCAACGTTTCCATTGATGTATCAGTGACGTCATAATATTGCGTCACAATGAAATAGTTACAAGTTTTCCAGACAAGTTTGTAAATTCTTTGCGTAAAGTGTAAAGAAAAATATTTTTTTTTAAATGATTTCTCTTTTTCTGTTAAATACTCTTCAGCGTGCATTATACTAAATGTTAAATAATATTTTAATATCAAAATGTATTTTACACAGTACACGGGCGGCGTCTCAGCAAGATGACGTTTTGATAAGTAATTTTATACATGACCGAGAACTAATTTTTCAAAATTGATTTACCAGGATATGCGTTAAAATAATTAATGAAGTGTTTATAATGATTCAGAACATATCTTATAAGATGAATGTTTTAGTTTTACGCAACATTTAATTCAACAAAGTTGGTAGATGTAAAAACTAAAACTTAAATACATTTATCTATGCAATCAAATCAAAATAAATTATCTACAGTACGATTAAAAAGGGGGAAAAAACTGAAAAATAAGTTATAAAAATATTACTGCTGAACTCCCAACTATAATTTGGCACTATAACGGAAGGTGGTTTAGTGAAACTTTTTTTTTTTAATTTTATTTCTTAATTTTTATTCGGCGATTGAAACAAATACACGCTCATATTTAATATGGAGTATAAACCTGTCACTATGTTGACCAATGCTAAAATGTTTTCACGTTCATGAAACCAATTTTTAAAAATAATTATGCCATGACCCCGCACCCCACCCCCACCCCCACCCACCCCCCTTCCGCGCTTCTTGCTTGCGATTTATCGGCTCTTGAATAATTATAATTTACATGACAGAACTTATTTTCTTATTTATATAAAATCAAATTTTGTAAAAGATGAAAAGGCTTTACAGATGACAGGTAAGAAAAAACTTGGATAAATTCGAGACTGTACACATAAAAATATTTCTTGCATTTAGGTAATTTTTTAATTTCGCTACTGATAGAATTTACTCTTTAATTCCTGAGACAAATAAAAAAGAAATTTTACTTGGAAATGAGATGAATAATGAAGCTAGAAAGTTGTCTGCTCTGGTTGTTGCATAATGCATGCATGCACAAATAATTTTTTTTAAATCCCTAGTATCTATTAAGAAATCAATCAGATCAATTGTTTTACATGTAATCTTCATGTAAGTAAAAGACATTGGTAATTTAAATAATACATACATTTGAATCTATGGTTACACTCATTTAAAAACAGTAAACTGACTGAAAAGAAATAACAGACTAGCATTTTTTCTGAGAAATTAACATGAAGAGCCAAATTTAGGACATTTTTCTAAATTTACGGAAAAACCGATCCCGATTGAAATAAAACCGATCCCGATCGAAAATAATGCAAAATTAATAAAATTATCAAACTTAAGGCACCTGTCACCTATATACTATGTTAAAAAAAATAAATCAAGTAATTTCTTAATCATATTACAACAAAAGAGCCAAATTTGACATTACTATTTTAGTATTTTCTTCTTTATACAATTCCGGTCGGGATCGGTTTCATTTGTGAAAACTATAAAAAAAAAATAAGTAAATTTGACTCCTTTTATTTCTTTCAAAATACCTTTTCCCAATGATTTTATTGAATGACCCAAAAGTCTGTACTTTGTATTCATAAAAACATAAGTAAACAAATATGTCCTTGTATTGTATTGGGTTCTATAACGTAATTAAAATTGGATACTGAATTTAAACATTTACTTGTTAAACTCAAATTTGGACCAGATAATTTTTTCTAAAGAAGTATAAATTGGAATCTTATTCATTCATAAAATAAAAGATAAAAGTCTATTCTATAAATAATATACATCCATATATATATGTTACATATAAAACAAAATAGATAATATAGTATTTTTTTTTACCCTCATGTTGACCTTTTTGCACTTAAAATTAAGCATTTACCAAAACTAGGACTAGAGGAGCACTATAAAATTTTTTGATGTTGTCATGTGTAAACACTTGATTTAATAAGTCTACATGCAAAAAATAATTAAAATTCATGACATGCGATGTGCCGCCCATTGCCTGGTTTTTCGGTGGACAGCCTCTTAACAAGCTCAAGCAAACGGACAGACATTGTGAGAATATACAGTGTACATTACATTATAAACCCTCCATTGCATGGGACTTAATGGCAAATTTAAGAAAAAGAAATGTAAAAGATTTTGAAGATTATGCAATAAAAGATATCAAAATGCAATCTTGCTCAAAAGTCTATGAAACAATACAAAACTGAGAGCAGAGCAAACAAGGACCTCTGAAACATGAGAGGTGGGATCAGGTGCCATGAAGGAGTGAGCGTCGCTTTTTCAGCAGATCGCACTTTCCGTGTGCTCCTTATCATAATCGGGTAAATCGGAGGAATTTTTTTTTAACTTTGTCAATTGATGTAGGTTTTACCTGCTCCATTTCTCAGTTCACACTCTGCTGCGTTGGTACATCCGGCGTACCCATCCGTCTCATCGCTCCCGTCATCACAGTCCGGAGAACAGTCACATTTAAACACGTTCTGGATACAAGACATACCACCGGACTGACAGGTGAAATAACCAGAGGGACATAACTGAAAAAAAATTATTAAATGTACAACGCAGTGTGGCTCTGATAGGTCAAGTCCATTATTCTGCTAAACATATTTTGCGAAGATAAGCACAAGTTCAACATTAGTGGCGGATCCAGGAATTTTATAAAAAGGGGCGACCAGTTTGGGGTCGGGGCAAGAGTCCACTCCCAAACCATCTACATTTGATTTACCGTTTAAATCTTATGTATACTTTAGACACAAAACTGACCCCTCCCCCCCCCGACCCTCTAAATCCACCAGTGGACATGTACCTGCATATACTGTCCAGCGGCTGCTGTTGGGCATGCGTCAGTGTTACAGTCGCCGTAATCTCCCGAAGTTCCGGGACAATCCTTTCCGCCGTTTTCGGGTTTGGGGTTATCACAAATCCTGGTTCGTGACTTTTGACCTCCCCCACACGTGACACTGCAAGTTCCCCAGACTCCCCAAGCGCCCCATGCTCCATCAACTGCAATTGTTGTTCATGTACATATATCATTTGTCCTCTCGTTTAGTACATTCAATTTCAAATTTAAGAGCATTGCCTCTATATTAAACAATAAAAAAAACGTTTCCATGGAAACAATGAAACCTTGTTATATCGAACTCTGTGGATTCGGAATTTTTTTTTTTTTAGAAAAAACCAAAATATTCATAAAAGATAGAAGTTTGAAAATAACAAAATCTTGAAAGTTTGCAAGTACCTAAATTTAAGGTCTTCAACTGTCTGTAAAACTTAATAAATCTACACAAAATCTATTATTACGGTAATTTGTATCATTGATTGTACAACATTTTACATTAATGCCATCTCTATCAGTCTTTTAAGTACGAGAAAAAAAAACATAAATAACTTACTGATGCAGACTTGGGTGTTACAGTCCTGTGTGTTTTGATTCGATCCTGGACAAGTAGCCCCTCCATGTTGCGGTGTAGGATTAGTACAGGTTCTAGACCTGACCTGGGTCCCTCCCCCACACGTCACCGTACAGGTACCCCAGCCACCCCATGATGCCCAATTACCGTCAACTGATGGTTTTAAAACGAAATAAATTAAAAGTGCATTACAAGTACATGTATTTTAAAATTAATACTAGTAATAAGAATATGCATCATAAAACTAGGCTTGAAACCACTCGTTTGTAAGGAAATCTCGGATATAAGGTTTTCTTGATCCCCTAAACGACTATAAAAGATCTTGAGTAAATGGAAGCAAAATTCAGGTCCCATTGATATTCTTACACGTTTAACCTTTTTCTGTATAAATTAAAATCATATGTCTGTACGTATTAAAAACCAAAGATTCAATTTCGTTTACTTGGACAAGGATTTGTGTTGCAGGTTTGAGAACTGGTGGAGGATCCAGAGCAGCTTGCCCCTCCATACTGAGGGGCGGGGTTGGAGCAGGTGCGTGTTCTCCCTTGGGTACCGCCGCCACAAGTCACCGTGCACGTGTCCCAGTTTCCCCAGCTCCCCCAATTTCCATCAACTAAAGGTGAGAAAAATATTTTTTAATCATAATGAATATGTTTTACCTTTTAAAACAATTTTAATTTAACAACGAGCAATTTATTTTAGTATACATTAAAGGCTTATAAAAACTGGCGATACTTACTTGGGCAGTTATGAGTGTTGCAGGCCTGAGAGCTGCTAGAAAAATCCGCACAGTTTGCTCCCCCGTGCTGAGGGGCAGGGTTTGTACAGGTGCGCGTTCTACCCTGTGTACCGCCCCCGCAGGTTACAGTGCACGTTCCCCAATTTCCCCAACTAGCCCAGTTTCCGTCAACTAAACGAGTACATCATGAATTTTCAAAAATACATGTATAACAAAATGAGCAAAGAAATATATTCAGGTTGATCACAATGTAACAAGGACACTGCAAAGCAGAGCATCCCCTCTCAAAAAGACAACATTCGACATCGATAACAAAGCTATATTATATTACATCACTTCCGTTTTGTACAGAACAAACAAACATACGCACACAAGTCAATCGACGTGCATTGCCATTTCCGCGAGGGGATACAAACCTACAGGTATATCTATTATTTATCTGTACTTACTTGGGCAAGCATTAGTGTTACAAGACTGGGAGCTACTAGAAGATCCCGAGCAGCTCGCCCCTCCATGTTGAGGGGCGGGGTTAGAGCAGCTGCGTGTTCTACTCTGACTCCTCCCTCCACAAGTCACTGAGCAAGTTTGCCAATTTCCCCAAGAACCCCAGTTTCCGTCAACTATATAAGGAATAAAAACGTTCCACAATTTTTTTTTTACACGATTAGGAATATAAGAAAATGTTTAAATTTTGTCTTGATATTTTAAAAATTATAAGGTCCCTTAAAATTTATAAATTTGAGAAGTGTTCGAAGTTAAACTCCATTGCACTTAATAATTCATTGTAACAAAATTCATTCTATACTTTTATTTCACACTATTGGGAAAAATAAGCAGAAGTTTCATATATTTTCTCTTGATACTTGAAAATTTTAGGCTCCACAGAATTACTAAATAATTGTAGTGTTCGTAGTACAAATCAATTGAACTTCAATTATATTTCGTTATAAACAATATAATTCAATAAAACATAACTTCATGTACTCACTTGGGCAGGAATGTGTGTTACAAGATTGAGATTGGGTGGCGGATCCAGCACACTGGTCGCCGCCCCACTGTGGGGCGGGGTTTGTACATGTCCTTGATCTTGTTTGGGTTCCACTTCCGCAGGTTTTAGAGCAAGATCCGTATGATCCATAACTGGACCAACCGCCATCAATTGGAGGTGCTGTGTACAAATTTTAAAAAATCAGAAATATATATCCAACTTCATACAAATCTTCTACTGAAAATAATTTTGAAGTGGATTTCCAATTTTAATACAGTAAATTATGCAAAATGCAAAGGAAAATCGACTCGATTAGATAGTTATATTTTTCTCAATTGAAATTAATCTCCTACATGTATTCCTTGTGAATATTCAATATTCTAACGCTAATTGTAAAGATTTATTTCTTCAGCATTGTGCATTCATTAATAAAACCTTTAGTATCACAAAAATTTGCAAGGACTTGATAGGATAATATTTCGCCGTAATAATGACTTCATATCAATCATGTTCTATATAACTATAATGTACTGTAGATCATTAAATATATACTCACTGTTCTTCTTGCACATAAATTGTAAAGATCCGCTACATTTCCCGTCGTTCCACTGACCATCGTTAGCGTAAATCAGAGCACAGTCTTCGTCCCCCGAGTTATTAGGCTCGCCTGTAGTAATGTTGTTCAAAAATTCTTATTGTAAATCTCATACTACTTTGAACTAACCTTGATTTTTATTTTCATTGCAATTTATAGAAAATAATGAAAATAATGTAGATTGAAGATAAATGAAAATTATTTTATAGATTTTTATATTGAATATACATGTAGTATGAAAAATAAATTTGATTGAATTGATTCAATGAATTCGAGGGCTCCAAATAAATGTTTGAGATCAATTTAGCACAGACATCGGTTATATTGTACCTGATTTCCAGTTGGTGTAGCTCCAGGAGAAGGTACCCCCGGACCATGCCCACGATCCCTCCTTGGGACCGTCAAACCCTCCCATCCACATGTCCTGTCCATTCATTAAACCTGCAGGAAAAGTCACGGGATCATTTTAAAAATTTGACTTGGTAGAAATTGTCATTAATTAGCGAAAAAGGGGGTAGAAAAAAAAAACACATTTTAAGTATTAGTCCAGCTGAGTGAAGGCTATACTTTACCTCTCACGTAAGACATTTCGGAAGAATCTTCGACGTTCAACAGGTTAGCAGAGTTGGCCTGGCACGTCTTCAGAGCGTTTGACCACGTGACCTTAGAGGTGAATAGCTTGTAACATTTACCGTTCCTGAAACTCCAGGTGGAATCGCAGGAATCCAGCGCAGCTGAAGCGAAATTTATTATTTAGTGAAAGATATTTCATTATTATTGATAATTCTTGAAAAAAAAAAAAGAATAACGTATCGATTTTAACAGAGAGAAAAATATATTACTTGTTTGTTCACAAATGTATGCCATGTCACGTGAACAGGGGTAGTCGTTCCATTTCCCGCCACTGAGAAGACTGGCGCAATCCTCTCCACCTGAGTCATTTGGCTCGCCTTGAAAATTAATGTTCAAAATTGCAATTTAACAGGGTCGAGATATGTTTACACGTCGTGATCAGTAACTTAAATGTATAAATATTCCTGAATTCACTTAGCAGAAAATTCATTTGACTTATTAACATGGTAATTGATCTAGAGAAATCAATAAAAACGTTTTCTTTAAAATCTGGTTTCTGCAAAAAAAAATAAAAATTGAAAGTCATTTAAATATAATATAAAATAACTTTCTGTCCCTTTAGACACTGACCAGAGTTCCACTTGGTATAAGTCCACGATTGGATACTGCCGTACCATAGCCATTGGCCCTCAGTGGACGCATCAGAACCACTGATCCAGAACTCGTTCCCGTTAGCGAGATCTGAAATGGAGTGTAGAAGTAAATTAAAAGACTCAGTCCTTATATTGTGTAACAAAAATAGATTTTCTATAAAGGCACGTAGCAATGCTTTCAAAATCGTTAGCAGAATTTTCTTTTCTTGTAAATGGTGAAATTTGCCTATTTTTTTTTAATCAGAAAACAAGAAATGTGTGTGTGTTATCGGTGTATGTTTGTGTTGGGGTGGGGGTGGGGGGAGGCTGAGCAAATCAAAATGTATCTACTGGAAACGGTTGTTCTCAGAAACTCGCGCTCACTAATTGATAATTGCTGATGTTTTTCCTTCGAAGGTCAGTATGCTTCATTATGAGATCATACAAACAAGAAAAATTTCGATGGATTTGAATACTCGTACATATATTGAGTGTAATGTTTATGATTTTATTTATGTAATAATAAAGTTTTTCTT